AATAAATTTATTTTTAAAATATTTGATTTGCTTTTGTGGAGCATGCTATCAGATAGGCTTGACCAGTCTTGTTATCATGTTGCATTTCATTGTTCAATATTAGGATCTTGTTAATCATGTTAACTGTATTTTGTATAGTGCATATATTAGACCTAATTCATGCATATTTTATCTTTGAAATAATTGATATTAGTGATTTTGTAAGTTTTGATATTAATTAACTAAATTATTTCCTAAAATCCATTTAATTCAAAATAAGCAAAATAGGAATATTTCTGCTAATGAGTTATTAGGTTGGCTTATTAGAATATTATCCATCACTATTTATGGTAAGGTTCTAGCTCTGATTGAGAAGGAGAATCCCAGAATGATCAACTTCCCTTTAGGAACAAAAATTCCAAAAGGTCTATGACCTAAACATGATCCTTCACAAGATATTTACTCCCAAAGTTATGACATCACTTCTATTACACACTTCTCTCTCCACGAATGAGTTTTGCCCATGCTGGCAAAGATTGGTTTGACTACATAAAGTAACACAAAATGAGAGCAATCTGCCAATGCAGCATGCCTCCATGGAGACTTCTACATAGGTGTTAGACATACGAAGAAAACTTGGAAAACTTCATGAAGTCAGCTCATCACAAACAATAATCAATGTTTAATGGTGCCATTTACACAGCCACTAATGGGGTCTGTCACTTCAAACATCTGGAGTTATACATGTAACTATGAATTATAGATTACATATCTAATTTTCTAGTAATTTATAATTTCATTTGTTATAAAGAGAGATGTTCAGTATTTTATAGTGTTGATAATATTCTTTTTCAACAATAAACAACTTCTTACATGGTTAGGTATGAAATAATAAAGAAATAGAAGTTATACACTTATAAAATCAAATTGCAAGAATCCATAATTTATAACTGATAGTAATACGTCTATAATGTAAGCAAACTCATTTCTGTAACTTTTAAAATATGATGAAATAAAAGTTTTTTTATAAAAATTTCATTATACACAATAAGAAACAAACCTTGAATTGGTGATGGTATTGTAACTGGTGATCTCAATAGATATTTGTTGCACATATCCCCTTCACAACAACAAAATAATACTTGAACATTTGGTTCTCTTTTTGTTTCCATACATTGTGTTTTGTCAATGCAATCACGATGGCTTCCTACCCAACAACCTATGTAAATAAATAAAGCATATAATAAATGAATTTTTTCAGTTGTAAGAAAAAAAACTAAATGATTTAATATGATTATAATTCTTTAGAATCCATACTTTTTAAAAATAATAATGCAAAGTTATATTACAAATGATAATAACTGAATATGAGAAATTGTACATGTTATTTTATTTTCACTATCTTTGTCATATATAAGTCATAGCAATCTTTTCCAATTATCAAACAATATAGAATAATCATTTTCCACTGATTACGTAACAATTCAAAACGAGTTTTATTTTTTTTAAATGGCTATCATTATTTATTATAGTAGTAAATGGTATAACTATACTTCATTCTCTCAATTGCGCCAAATTTGAAATTTGAATTTTAAGAAATTTCTTATAATGGGAAAAATTTTACAATAATCAACTTTTAATAAAGTTTAGTTAAACAACAAGTTAGAAAATAATATATGTGCTACAAAACCGATAATATCTGGCAGCTCTCTTTCTATGCATTTCTGTATATACTGATATAACAACATTTCTTTTAATACTGAACTGAACAATCACCGTAATTAATAGCTCGATTAATTACGGCAATTGTTTGGTTTAGTATCGATGTATCAGGCTTTGGGAAGTTTATTATATTTATTTATTTTAATGCTGCATCATACAATAGTCTCAAAAGCAGTTTAAATGCTAAGAAAGAGTTTAAATTAAATGCTTGTTACAAGAAAAGTTCAAATGAAATGATTTGATTGTTGAGCAATATTCTCGAATAAACTACTTCTGTTGCTTATTTCAGGTAGCTGAAATATTAAAACAAAGAAACGTTTTCAGTCTGAATTGGAACACCTTCAACTTAAAAATCCACTGGTTAGTGTGCAAAGAATTTTTCAAAAATTTAGCTCAAAATTGAATGCTTTAGGTAAATGACAAATGCAGTACATATATAAATAAACAAATACACAAATCATAACAATTTTTTGTTATTTAAGCATGAATGTGAAAACAAATAATAAGATAAAATTACTAATGTAAGGATATTTAATTACACTCTAAAGATTTTTAAGTGATTTAATATCAAATAATTTTGACATGTGACACAATATGATGGCATTTTCTATCAGTATATGGCTATTTTTGCCACGTTAACATGACAATAGCAATCAATAGTTAATTTCTAGCTAAATGTCAAAGTCGTATAAGTTGTTATTTATATCTTTTTTTTCTTTTTTCACCAAAAAACATTAAAAGAGAAAAGATCCCTCCTTTAAATTGTAACTTAAATGAGTTTACAAGTCATTTAATATACTACACCCTAAGTAAATATATTTCTATTTTAGTGTTTTCTTGATTGTTTTACACAACACATTCTGTTTATATACTGTTTTCTATCAGCATATTACATTTATAAGAAAAATATTTCAAATGTCATATTTACAGCAAACAAAATAATGTTAAAAATAAATTATTTAAATGATGTCTGCATTAAAAAACTCATTTGCAAATTAAAAACACTTAAAAAGTTAACATATTTATGAAAAAACTGATTACATTTAATAGCATACACAAAACTTCAAAGAAAGAAAAAATAATAAAAATAAACAGAGATATTATATGATGGAACTATGAATCTCAATTACTTAGCGGAAACTTTTTGATCCATGTTTATTAATACACTTTTTTTATTGGTACAATGCTACGCGAAAATATACGTGCAACATGTCACGTATAAATGTACGTAATCAATGTTAAAAATTTGATAACTGGAAAAAGTATATAAAGTTACGATAAAAAATATCATAAAATACAATAATTCACATCTAACATTTAACTTGAAAATGTCAAAGAATTTTGTCATAAATCTTGATAAGATAATAACTGATGACACAAATTGTTTATACTGTTAACATACAGCATTAATTTACAGACTCAATACCAATAAAATCAAGCAAGAATTTTAATAAATAACAAACTTTTTAAACTACGTTTAGCAGTCATCACCAGGTTCTTAAATATTCAACTGGAACAACAAAAAAACAAAAATATTCTTAAACTTAGAATAGAAATATGATTGGATAAGTCCTATGATGTCATTGGTGGTTTTCACAAAATAAAAATTATTTACAAGATTTCAAAGTTCAACCTCCAAGCTTGAGGTTTATTGTCATTGAAATTTTCAGATGGTGTTTCTTCTACAATATAATATCTCGGACAAAACCAAGAGATTTGTCCTATGTAAAAATGAAGATTTCAATACTAAGACTGCACAATTTTTATAGTTATTGGGTTCTACATTATTAAATAATGATCCCACTCCTATGGTATTAAGATTAATGTGTAGAGTCTTTGCATGGCCCACACTCCTGTTGACCCTTTCTGGACCTCTAGATCCTCCTACAAACATAGCTTGTCCAAGACTTTTCTTTGAAGTGAAAATGCACAAACCCGAGTGGTTGCTACAGCCATTAATTAACAAATGCCCCCCAAATATTATTCAGAGAAAGCCCTTGCCGCATTTATCAACAATTTAGTACCCAAATATGAATTTGTAGTATCCTCAATATTGCAAGCCAAGAAAATTATTGACCAACTGGGAACATTATCAGCAGATGCATTTTGGTTTTATAAAATATTTATAAAATAGATGCAATTTCCCTCTATTCCTCTGTTCCAAAATTTGATGCTGTAATGCTATCTAATATGCTGTTATTAAAAAATGCTTTACAATTCCAAAAATACTTGATATACAGGTAACCCTCTTTTTGGTTACAGAACACAATTATTTTCAGTTTAATAACCAATATTTTTTACAAAAACAGGGAGTTTCTATGGGCTCACCACTTTCAGCAACTTTGGCAGAATTGATTATGCAAAGCACAGAATGCAAAGTGTTCTATTCCCCACTTACAATACATTATCCCCTTCTCTATATCAGATATGTGGATGATGTTTTAATTGCTTGGGAAAATACTACTGAAGAATTATTAGCTTTTATAAACTGTCTTTCTGAAGACAGTTTACAAAACCTTCCATATCATTTACTATAGAGGAAGAAAAAGACTGAAATATTGCCTTTTTGGATCTTAAGCTATATAGAACATCCACACAGCCCCACTTTACGGTTTATCATAAGTTTGACCTATCCTATATATCATACCTTCTGCCTCATTTCAGCCAGCAAAATATGTAAATGCCGCCATTTCCACACTTATCCACAGGGCATATTTGTACCCGTCGTCACCAGCATTTACATGCAAGGAACTACATCTGGTGGCAGCTGCTGTATACAAAGCTGGTGATTCATGTGCCAAGTTTGAATATGTTAACAATCTTGTCCACAGAACTTTCTTCCCACTTACGACTTTAAAAACCAATATAAATAATAATACTGTAGAATTTCCACAACCACCTATTCCGTATTTGGGTGCTTTTATATTATGTATAGTGCGTGCCTTCAAAAACCATGGCATAATTTTACCCATTAAACCTCAACCATTCCTATGCAGAATGTTATGCAATGATAGAGATTGTTAGTCATTATTAGAAAAATCAGATGTATACATGATTCCTTTACAAGTTCAAAAAGGAACAAAAATCTTTAACATAGAGACCAGGGGGACCAACAGTGGACAAGCGATTCTATTCCCTGAACACTGGGAGTTTGGTCATGGGTTCGTGCCTTGCCTGGACAGGCTGGCCAAATGGAGTTTTTCGGGTTTTCTCCACTCTGTAATGCTTGAATAGAGGCCAGTTACCCTTAAAAAGACTTCCCAGAAGGAATCCTCCTAGGCAGATCGCCCAAGTGTTGTGTTGCCATAACTTAACAAACAAACAAACACAAAGGCCACTTCCAGAAAGTTAGCAAACTGACTTCATTCAGGAACATCAGAGTGATATCAATAATTGCAGAGCTACTACTGAACTTGCCAGAAATATCTTAGAAAATAATTACATACTGTTATGGGCTGACATTAAACTAATAAAATCATGTTTAAACCATAGAATTCTTTACTTATGGGAGACTTGTGTATAACAACACACAAAGCTTGTAATAAACCATCTTCTTGACCTTGGAGAAGTTTGGACCACTCTATACAATTCTTTAACATGTTAATTTCACACATTATATATATATATTTATAAATTCATTTTCTTTCTATATTTGGTGATTTTGATCTGTGTATACCTTTTGTTTATCATCCAATGTTATATTGTTGTATGGACCATCTATGTGACATGTGTTCCTTATTTTTTTTTTGCAATTTCTTAATTGTTTAATTTACACTCTTCTGAAATGTATTTTATACCCATTTAAAAATGTTGATGCATTGTAATCTTAGAAAAAATAGTTAATATGTCATAGCTCTTAAACATTCTATTAAAACATTGTTACATATTCAAATTCTTTTGTTCAGTGCCTAAAGAAGACTATTTTGTATTTGTCGAAAGTGCTTGTTATTTTTGATTTTATATTAATAAACTTATTTAATGCAACAGACAGTAAGAATTTCTTTAATATTACTGAATATTGGCATACCATAGAGGTAAACTCTTTATATATTTAGGTGTTTCTTCTACTGGCCTTATAGATTTCTAGTTTTTCTAAAGTCTAATAATTGTAATGAGATGTTTTTGCAGACACTGTTTTAAAATGAAAAATGCTAGAAATTTACGAGGACAGAAGAAACAACACGGCTACCAACTACAACAACAGCAACAACATGTTATCCCCAGTTTGAAGGGCATTATTGGATATTTAATATTACTTTTTACATCACGATATTTACACCTCAATACAACTGCGTGACAGCAGTTCACCAATCATTGTTCGCTTTATTTTAAATGATTACATTCTATTGCCCATTCTATTCCAATGCCAGTTTCCGAATACATTTTTCAACTTGAAGATGATTGCTAAAGGCAACTGACAAAATTTTTGTGTTTCACTGAACTTAATTTTTGGCTGTGTAATTGAGAAACATTTATTCCTGACATGTTATCCATATTTACAGAATTCTGACATGTCGAAAAGCCAAAGTTTCAGGCTTAGCTTTTTCTTTATGACAAAATAGTGATGTTTGCCACTTTTTGATAAGCATTTTCATCCACAACTGATTTCCAGAAATACTGCCACAAGTACAACCTGCAGTACCATTATAAATGATTTACAATGGAAATGCAAAGAAATTAAACAAGTGTCATACATTTTTAGTTCTGTCCATGCTTTATTAGAAAAGTTTATTTCTAAATTCATTTTACACTCATAAAGTCATAATTGATCATTTTTTTGCTTTCCTCCAAGACAGAATTATCCTTTACATACTTATTATTAGAATTATCCTTATAACAAACACTCAAAATATGACAGCCTAAAATTTGTTAATTAGAAAATGTTTTGTATTTGAAAATCTAGAAAAACCGTGGCCTAGAATAGAATTTAATTACTTTATTTCCTTAAATAAGTGCCCAGGTACTTATTCATTTCAACAAGTCAAAATCCTTGGTGACTATTCAAGATCCAACACTTAATTTTTACAGCTTAATTTACAACTTAATTTAATTTGCCTACCGTATTCATTTTGTTTCAGTGCAGTAATAAGGTTGTTCAAAGTAATACAGCTTCTCGTCAAAAATAAAAAACAACTTTAGGCCCCTATTTTATTATTACCACTGTAAGTTAATAATAAAAATGATTTTCTTCAACTTATTGTTTGATTTTCTCAATAATGCAATTAATCATGATGGCAAATACTACTGGTAAATACCAGTGAAAGACAGCCATTTTTATATGACTTTGTATCCTTGGTACGAGAATAATTCCATGCTTGAGAATTGTGCAACAGCACATTTTTATGTAAATTTTCCTAAAACAGAAACTTTTCTCTAAAAATGCATTCAATACAGACAATATAAAAATTTGCAAAATTTCATTACCTTGTTATTTTAACTTGATCTGAATAAGTGCCCCATCACTTATTAATTTACACAGATCAAAATCCTCAGCAGTTATTCGAGGCAGGTGGCTAATCAAGTCCCAGCATTAAATCAAGGAAATATGGTACAGTAGAATCCTGTTAAGAAGTTTTTGATGGGACCACTCTAAAAAAACTTCTTAGACGGGAAGTCTCTTATCCAGGAATTGTAAAAAAAAATAGCTTTATCATATGTGTGATCAGTTTTATTTCAATATCTAGGTAATATAGCCTAGCATAGTGTAACATAGTAAGATGCACTGACTACAGCAGGTGAAGTGACTGGTGTCAATAATTAATGGACAGCACTGGATAGAGAGAGTGATCAAAGCAATAAGACCCCAACTAATTTAGAAACCACCACAGATGTAAAGTGTTTGATATACAATATGGTGAACGTCTGGAGTTACTTTACTAAACTTTACTATTTTTATAAGTGATAAAGTTATGGTGTAAAAAAAATTATGATTTCTCTCCAATAGAAACTTCTTAAATGGATAAAATATCATTGATGGGGGTGACCATTTTGGAATTTCTTTTGGAAAAAAAAAAGTTACACAGAAAATTTTAACACACATCTTATGGTGTAAATGTCAGCACTGAAGAAATTAGATTTCTTGTGCGGAAAAACCTCTCGGGTGGGAATTTCTTAAATTATACTGAATATTCAAATCTGTCTCATCTAATATATGAATATGTTGAAATATTTGGAAAATTTTATAAGTTGAAATTTTTCCACATATAAATTAACTAGCTTGTTATACCTACAAACATCACCAAACGATCACTTAAATAATCAGGCTATAATTCCTCTAATTTAATGATTAATACAAAGTATTTGCTACTAGAGATAGACGTTAGGCACCATCTCTTAACTAAATTAATAATTATAATTTTAATCATTTATTAAATAATTTAGAACCATCTGGAAGAAAAAAAACTGACCTGAGGCAGGGCTTGAAACCACAACCTCCCCTTGCTAGTTGCAAACCAGTCTAATTACTAAAATTATAATTATTAATTTAGTTAAGAGATGGCAACTAACATCTACCTCTAGTATTACCAAATTACTTTGTATTTAATCATTACATTAGCAGAATTATAGCACGATTATTTAGGCAATTGTTTGGTGATGTTTCTATATACTTATTGAGCTTTGCAATGTTTGATATACTTGTTATACCTGGCATTATTGATCATAAATTTCAAAAATGTATGTGGTCTAACCCATCTTAAGAACATTATGAGAATGCCTATATACTATGGGGGTATTATGTCCTCATAAATAGCAAGTTTATAGAAAAATTATTAGAATTTTAGTTTGGTTTATTTAGTTATGGTAACACAACACGTGGGCAATCTACCAAGGGAATGCCTCCTGGAAAGAGTTATGTGAAACTGGCCTCTATTTAGGTGTTACTGACATGAAGAAAACCCAGAAAATTCCACGTGGTCAGCCAATTGGCAATGCACCAACCCAAAACAATCTATTAGTGTTCGGTGGTTTTATCCACTGTGCCACCGGTGGGCACTTATTACAATTAAGTGCCATTCAGAAATGAAAAAACCAGAGTTGTTAGATGTGTAAAATTAAATACTTATATAGTTTCCACAGTGTAACACTTTCCACACAGGTGAGTGCTATGCGCTATCCTATCCATTGCAGTAATGATATAGAGTTCACACTATATCATTGTTGTAATACAGTCGACCCCCGTATAAGATCATTGATTATTCCGTTTTATATGAATTCCATGTTGTACGAGTCACTTAGATTTTACAAATACGTGTACCGGGCTGTGAACGGCTCACGTATTTGTAAAATTTAAGTGACTTGTACAACATGGAATTCATATAAAACGGAATAATCAATGATCTTATATGGGGGTCGACTGTAATTAAGTGAAAAGTAATATTTGTTTTTTTTTTAATTATATCTTTTTTGTATTAATTATATTTATTGGTGTTACATATAAAGCCAGCAAATCAAATCCAGACAGAAATTAATTGATATATAGAATTTCAATCAATATTTTGGAGTGGTATGTACAACATTATCTAAATTAGAAGTATGTTAACGTAACTACCAAGTTTCACAGCAGTTGGTCGAACTGTCTAGGTGTGCATAGCAAGCAAACATCCTCATTTTTACATATAAATTTTATAATAGTATTCATTTATAATTGTTTTTATCATGATATCAAGAAAAGAGATGATAACTCATTACCTTTTCTATACAATTATTAACAATTATTAGATATTAAATAATACCAAAATTACCAAACTTACTTTGAAAAACTCATTATTAATATTAAACGCCGATAAATGTTTTTAAAGCTTCTTTGATTCTTCATTAGATCACTGATTCAATTTCAAAAAAAGAAAGAATAAAAAAAATCAAATCAATGATCTGATGAAGAAGCAAACTCAAAGTTTAAAAATATTTATCAATAATTAATAACTAATCCCTTCAAAGTTTAATGATTTTGATATTACTTGAAAATAAGATGTCAACAAAACATGTCTTACATATTAAATAAGAACCAAACAGATATTATTATTATTATTATTATACATATTATGTGTATCATCCTGGAATATATAAATTAAGCTTAATTAAACCTAATCTCTACATTTAAACATATAGGGACACTAAGGATTTCCTATCAATACAGCAATAAATACAGAGAAAAAATATTATAACATCATAAATATCATTCCAATAAAGAGGTCAGTTTACTGTGGGTATAAAACATTTTTCCAGCCTACTCGACTCATCTTCAAAAACAATTCCAAATTTAATCAAATTTAAGTAACATTCAAATTTCAACAATGTTCAATTGTGTATGTAACATGGGGTCAGAACTGGCTGATGATATTAATCAAAACTTATTAAAAGTCTGGAAGAAGTAACTTGAAATATTCAGACAGCATAACTGGAAATGCATTCTAACATTCAAGAGAAAATCCAGCTCCAAGTATTGTTTTTTTTTTTTTTTTTACTTTCCTCAAGTTTATATTATTTATTTATTTATTTAAAATATTCTACAAATTAAAAATAAACAACTATGTTACCTGTTATGTTAAATCATAAAACAAGTTAATTAGACAATTAAAAGAATCACCAAAGAATTACTAAAACCTTAGTATTAAAAACTAGTTAATAACATTATTCTACACAAACAAACTGTGATAGTATAAAACCAATTAAAGTTGCAATTACCTTTTAATTTTATACTATATCCTTCAGAATTATTTTGCCATAAAATATAACAAAGATTTCCTTTGCTACTCTCACTAGGTTTGCATTCTTCACTTCCATTGCATCCAATTCCTTCCTTATTACTTTGGCAGAGTGTTTCATTATAGTATTCACAATGCATCATTGATGATTTCATAGTTGGCTTGATAGCTGTAAAATTAAAAAAATTATGAAAATTTAACATAGTTAGTATAACTGTTTAAAAATTTGTTTAAAATTACACCATTAATAAATAAAAATTGATAGGAAAAAAACTCTTAGTTACATTAAATGGTTACTTTACACTGAAAATTCAATGTAGCCTGTTTAAAGCATTTGGCAAAAATACATAAAGCTTTCAAAATACTAACAGTTTTTATATAAAAAATGTTTTGTTGCCAACTTAGTAAGAACTGTAGAGATTCTCGATCTCAAGCAAGATTTAGAATGCTGATATTCTTAACTTGTTAAGATCAGTAATCCTGATAAGATATTATGTTGAAATTTGTTACCTCCAAAGTTCAGACTTGTTAAAATTCATCAAGTTAAAAAACAAGGGGGATGTATTTCTTAGATTAAGCATGAAAAACACACACTAGAATTAACATCAAGAAAAATTATATGTACGATTGTTAACTCCAAAATGATTTGAAAAATTTTTTAAATAATAATAATTCATCTGTAGTATATTATTTTATATTGTTAACTTTTATACAATATGTAAAAAATATTAAATACAAGATGGACCAAAAGTCAGTTAACCAAGATATATTTGTGATTCAGTTGCTTGAATAATGTAAATTACTAAAGGTTCGGCTGTCCTAACATTCGGCATAACAGGATAATTCTCGTAAACAGCACAGCACATGGAACCTTTAAATGGTGTTAGAATTTTAACTCTGTCGGTAAGGGAATTTAACTTACAAAAGGTTCTGTGCAGTGTGCTGTTTATAGTATAAAATACAAAAGATGTTCCAAATTAATTTTAACTATTCTTACAACTTAATATATTAAAGATTATAAAATAATTATAAAAATCAAAAATTACAGAGTAAGTTATACAAACATCGCTAAACCCGATATATAATAAAGCTACACACCAACCGAATGCCGAAAATCTATCGGGCTAGTATAAAGCTAATTATTGGTTACATAATTCATTTAATAATTAGCCTTATACTAGCCTGATAGATTTTCGGCATTCGGTTGGTATGTAGCTTTACAGCGTAAGCTAATATTATCTACCTATTAATTTATTGATGACAAATATTTGTTTTTATATTATTTTAAAGAAATATGTTCATCTTCAATTTTTCAAAATAAAGCAGCATAAACAAAAGAAAAAAGTTGAAAAAATAATTCAGATAAAATTCAATAAAAATAGAAGAATAATTATCTAATGATAAAAAAAAACATTTACTGTAAATAATTCTAAAAAATTATCAAGTAACAACACTTGAAGAAAGTTATATTAAATTTGTTAAATTATCATATATTACTGCATCAAAACTATTGAATTCTCATTAGTTTATACTAAATGTTTTATATTCAATTATGAGAATGCCTTTCCTGTTAAATTTGCTATCCTTTGAATAAACAACTCTAACTTATCATTGCTTCGCAACTAACTAGAATTATTTCAAAATACTTTTAAGCATAATTAATCAGTATTATATAAAATACTACTTACTTTGTGTTCTTTCCTAATTATTCCATTAAATTATATTCAAAACTTTATTGTTTTAAATTATAACTTTAGAATTTGCGACATACGTCGTTGAACAAGTATAAATAAACAGAACAATTAATTGAAATTTTAATTTATAAAATGTCCGTACTATAAAAATGGAATTAAAATCGGTGATCCATTAAAAGGGAGATTTAAAATAAGATTTATAAAATCTAAATAAAAACTTGAAGTATACTCTAATGCATAAACTCTGTTACATAAACTGCAAAAAGTTCGTATATTACTACTCCACAAATAACAACGTTCATTTATGAGAACGATGATTTTCAACATTTTCAGCAAGTAAAAGTTGTTATTTTTAATTGTTTTTATACGTCTTATAATTTCTTCTATTTAATATTAAGTGAAAGTGCTTTTTAAAAATAATTTTTATAAGAAATTAAAGGACAAGAGCTCTCGATTATTTTATATCTTATTAAACGGATCTTTACGTTTACTGTACTAATTTTTTATTGTATTGTAAACAGTGTAGTAATAAATTTAAATAATAAGGTCATTATTTAATAATTTATTGCTACTATTCGTAACCAAACAAATTTACTTTGATTAAATTCTCTTTTATATATCTGTTTAAATATTGATCATAATTTATTTTACAAAAATATAATTTCTTTAACATTTATAACAAGAAATGTAAACAAACTTGTTCTTTTGTACTATCTTATTATTATCTTATAAAATATAAATGAATTATTACTTTTCTGTAAAGTATATGTGCCATGTAATACTTGAATTCAATATCAAATTATTTGCATAATCTTTGTGATCCTTACAACAATTTAAGATAGAAAAAATTTTGTAAATAATTAATTTTATATGCATTTATTTTTATAAATAAAGAAAATATTCTGACATTGTTTACATTTCAATTTCTGAATTAAATAAATAAATGAATTATAAATGTACAATTTCAAAAGAACAGAGAAAGTATTTATGAGTAAGTGATTTCATTTCTCACTTAAATAATGAAATTCCATTAGAAGTTTTATTATTAAAGTTTCCCAAATATAGTAAAATTCACACCAAAATTATTCTTATTATTCGAATATAGATCGTAGCCTGTATTCAATTAGCCAAAGATTTAAAGTCAGATTATTCGTGGACTAAAACTATGCTAATTATTAAGTAATCTAATTATGTAATTTGGCCTAAAAGTAGCTAGACCACTACACTAAGATTAATTATTATAACCTAAGTTTTAATTAATTTAGAAGTTTTGCCTTTAGATCTTTGTCTAATTAGTTTAATTACTATTCTTATAATGAACAACTGGAAAAAGTTTAGTTAGAATCTTACATCAAATCCAAGTAAAAAACACTGCTTATTTAAACAAAACCTGACAATTAAAAATAAAAAAAAACTGAAAATTCATCATATTTTTCCCATTTACAACAAAAAAAAAAAACCAGTTCCTGATAAATCTATCAACAAAAAGAATCAATGACTGCATATTATTGCACTACCAATATAAATTTCTATCAAGATGTATAAACATATTTATTCACAATGTTTACAGAACTTTATATCCCATATTCTGTGACACAAATGACAAATGTACAACTATTCTGAATTTCTGACATCTTGTTGGATCCTCTATAATATTTCAAACAATAGAAAGAGAAACAAAGAAAATCAATAAAATTTTAAATACTTTCATTATACAAAATTACAAAGATTAAATTAATTATAATTTCGAATATTAATCTGAAATTTGTTTATTTTTGTCCCATAGAAGGTCGTTAAGACGGCAAAAAATGAAAATTTAGGTTCTATTGCATTTTTAAAGGTTTTAGTAGTAGTACTGTGATTTAATTATAATGTGCAATCTTGTTTAGACAGTCTTCAGTATTCTTCCCAAGCTAGTTTTAGCTGGTTGATCAACCACTAAAATATTTCCTTTGACCAGTTATAAATAAAATAATAAAAAAAATATTTTTAACTATTATTTTTTTAAAGACAACCATACCACAGACCAGTATAACATTGAATGTTGCAGTACAAGCATTGTTTTCTTGTTATTAACTGAGATTTGTAAAGAAATTTCTAGTAGCAGCCAGTTAACATTGTAGATTGCCCAGCCAAGAATCTTTTTGTGCAGAAAACTAAGATCTTAATCTAAAACATACATCAGAAAAGTCAATATATATAATTAGAGTTTCATTACCAACATTTAGCAGCTGTTGAAATTTGTTCTATAGTCTAAAAAATTTATAAAATTTTCTTTTTTGTAATATCTGTACTTTATAATAATAAATAATTGAGTATTTAAATAAATAAAAAAGTTTTGAATAACTCACATTGACTGTTTATTGGGATGATTGTATCAAGTTTGATTAAAGTGAAGTAAATAAGTAAAATTCAAAAGTAAAAATTATTTAGTAAATAATCCAGCAATGAGTTGTTTAACTTTCTTGGCAACATTTAAAACTGTGTGTAATGCCATCTGTTACAATATTTTATTTTAAAAACTTTTATATTTTTAATTATTATAAAATGGCAAAAAGCTTAATTTTGAGGGTAGGGACAGGTTTCATAAAAAATTGTAAATGCTAATAATGAGTAAAATCGGCATTACGTCCAACCCTACTCAAGATATGACACATGACCTCCTTTATTTCCTCACCCCCTCGACCTTTAACCACTAAAATTTAATTGCATTGATCCCCCCTAATAAACAAATTTCCTTGCAAAATTTCTGAAATTTTTGATAAAAAGCACAGGAGTTATTAAGCTTCAAAGAGGGTAACAAAATTGTGTCCCTCACACACCCCCATACTTATAGAAAAAATACCCCAAATTTTTTGCATTTCTTGACATTTCGAGGTTTCCTGACAACAAAAATGTAAAAATCTTGGAAGACATTTTTTGACCAATCACCACACTTTCAGTTAATAATAGAGCCAGGAAAGTAAAAATAGACCAAATATAACAGGGACAAAATGATAAAAGTAAGTTAACAGCACAAAACCATACCAAAATTTAAAAATTGTTAACTTACAAAAATAAATAAATTATTATATTTTGTAAAAGTTATTTTAAAGTAAAACATTTTAAATATCTAAGTCAAGAGTGGCAACCTTTTCAAGTATACATGACAAAAGTGATATAAAATCATTTTAATTAAACATACCTGCTGAAACTTTGAACTTCAAACGACTATTTTTAAAGAAATAAAGTGAATAAACTTTAAGTAAAACAAATGAAAAAAATGATGACGGTAAATCTTTTAAGCATATTGCACAACTCCATGAGATGCAAGAATAAACCAGAATAAAAACTGAAATGAATGTAAATCAAATATAATGTTGTTTGTACGACCATTTATTTTATTGGAATGACTCTGATATACTGATTTTGGAATATTTCATTCATATTGAAGAGTCATAACAACATAACACTAAAACAACTATAGTACTCTACT